CCCAACCTCTCCAATCTAAAGTTTTCTTTGTGCATAGCTAAAACTCTATGTTATACTTTTAAACCATTGATCTCGCTTGTTGGTAAAAACTTTAAGATTGTCACACACCAAGCATATAAAAGATACATGCAAATCCCAAAATCACATAGATCCATCGAAAAAGTCCCGAAAACTCGGAAACATTATTCATCGTAAGGATAACACTATTCACCGTATGGACGTCATTATTCATCCGTACAACTATCTCTATTCACCGTACGGACGATACTATTCATCTACCGATTTTTTTTCTCAACTTTTCATTCAACTTTTTAAAAATTCTGATTTTCGTAGTAAATACAATCTCCAAAATATATATTTTTTTTTCATCAAAAAAAATTTTCAAAGTACATTTACAACCATTAATAAATAATTTTAGCTTTATGCTAAACCCATTAAACTTATGTAAGATGAGTACATATCCTAAACATGTAGTGGATAGTATACTTTGATTCATGCATAACACGTTTTTAATGGAAGGCGAAACTTTAACCATGATTAAATATTAAGAAATGCTTAGTGAGTGATGCGAGAACACATATTTTTCCAATCACACTTTTCGGTTATCTATGCTCTTCACCTTCTTCGCTTTTGTATGCGTTGTTTTCACACCTTTGAAAAATGCATCACACAAGATTGAATATCACCTTCACATATCTATTATGAGCAGCACATAGTTCTTATGTTTAACAAATGCATCTACCTTTACTTTACTTTTACATGAGCTTTCTTTGGACCACCATAAGTTGATTGAAATACTCATCAGAAAAAGTATTAAACAAAGAGATGCAAATGATATATCATGATATGCTCTCTTAAGGCCATTTTTATCTCATATTTTTCTTTTTCTTCTTATATCTCATATTTTTCTTTTTCTCTTGTTTTTCGATTTTAAACATATTTTATGTATATTAAAATATTTCACTGTTCTCTTCCCACCTCCCTCCCTTTCGATGATGTGTCAACCTTTTGTTTATTAATCTTTTTATTAAAATTTATGAATTTTAAAGTGAAACATTGTTTATGTATTTTCTCTAATATTTAGTGGTTAATCTTTACCTAAGATAACTTTTTGCCATTGACATAACAACCTCATCCTAAATGAATTCGTGTCTCTGATTCTGTTCTAACTAATGATTTATTGAAGTATCTCAACTTTTTCTCTTTTTATGGGTTGATTTATTAAAAGTTACGCATCACGTATCTAGATTTATTTCTTTATGTATCTTACTCAGCTTCATCATTACATGGACAACAATTACATCAAGGCTTCTTACTCAAAATACTAACAAAATAAATATAAATGAAGGGAATGAAAGATATATAAAAAAATATCCGCAATCCTAAAATAGTTTGCGGATTAGTGTTTTTCATTAATTGAATAAATTCAAATTTAGTGTTAATGTTTTATGTGAAGGTTGATTTTGAGAAGAAGGAAGATTAGATATGAAAAGGTGGTTGGTTGGTAAGGAAATTTTTGAAGAGTGTCTTTGATGTTATGGGAAAAATGTTTGAAGTTTTTGTTATTTTGGGTTGGTATGTGTGATTAATTATGAGTTCGAGAGATGAATGCAGAATGAATTTCTTAATGTTGTTGTTAAAGAGTAAAAAGATTTTTGTGGGGTAGAAAGAGAACAGAGAATAATAAATGTGAGAAAGAATTTGAAAATGACACAACAACTGTATGGACGGTGGAATAATACAGTGAAATCTATTTTTAAGATACACATTTTTCATTAATCCATGAAATAAATAAATAAAATTTAAAAAAAAACCAAATAAGTAATAATCATTATTACTTTTTATTTATAAAGAATATTTATAATTTTAAATATATGATTAAAGATGGATTGACAGCATTGATAGTGAGAAATGTATGTTATTCAATTCATATGACGAAGTTTTTTTTTCTATTTTTCTGTTTTGGTCTAATTCGCCAATTGGACCGGCAAATGCACGTTGAAATGTAGTTACTTTTGTAAATTATTTGAAAACTTAATTTGTTTGGTAATTATTATATAATATATAGTTATATTAAAAAAAATTTGAGTTTGGTTTTCTAAATATTTATAACTTAATATATATATATATATATATATATATATATATATATATATATATATATATATATATATATATATATATATATATATATATATGAAATGTAGTTACTTTTGTAAATTATTTGAAAACTTAATTTGTTTGGTAATTATTATATAATATATAGTTATATTAAAAGAAATTCGAGTTTGGTTTTCTAAATATTTATAACTTAATATATATATATATATATATATATATATATATATATATATATATATATATATATATATATATATATATATATATATATATATATATATATATATATATATATTATTTAAATTGTTTATACAAATTTGATTATGGTTTTAAGGTTAATAGTTTATAGTTGTGTAAAAAAAAAATTAATAACTTATAGCATAAAATTGTATAAGCAATTAATTTGTGAATAAAGTAAACAGATTACTAAAAAAATTAAATAACTAATCTATAAATTTGTCTGATTTTTGTAAATCCAATAGATTTTTCACTCTCTCTCCCTGGTATATATTGAGAAAAGGTGTGTAGTTATATTTATTTATTTATCCATCATAAAAATATTGTAATAGAGATTATAATAAATTTTGACCGTTATAGTTATTAAAATACAATAAAATTTTAATAAATTTCAATTTTTTGAAATCATATGAAACGGAAAAAATGAAATTATTCATTAAAATATTTAAAACAGGAAAATTAAAAATAATTCAAATTTTTAATTGGTGTTATTTTAATAAACAAAAATAAATTTACTATTTATTCAAATATTTTTATAAATAATGTCATCAATATTTTTATAAATAATGTCAAAAATAAAATATAAATATTCAAAATTATATTAAACATAAATAATGAAGTTATTGATCACAAAATTAAATTAAGAATTTTTTTGGTTTAACAATTTTGTTTTTCTATCATTTCATTTTTATTACATTTTTAAAACAAAAGTGCAAAATTATATGAAACGGGAATAATAAAGTTATTGATAAAAAATAAAATAAAAAATAATGGAAAGAAATTTACTATTTATTCAATTATTTTTGTAATACGGAAACAAGTTATTGATTATTTTTTAAAATATATTTGACTATATCTTAAAACAAGAATTTTAAATTAAAATTTATATCCGAGAACACGTTTATTGTTAATTCAAATATTTTTAAAATAACGTCAAACCAAAAATAATATTTATCTATGGGAAAAAGTAAATTGTTAATTAAAATATCTTTTATACGTAAATAATTATAGATACGAATTTATAATCTCTTTTAAAAATAATCAACTCTTTTGGTTAAACAATTTTTACTTTGTTTTATTATAATTTTTCAATAATTTAATGTAATATGAAATTGGATTTTGATGGTTATTTAAATAATTATTATTTTCAAATTTTAATTATAATAGAACTTAAAAAATAGAACTTAATAATAATTTTAATAAATCAAAATAGAACTTAAAAAAAAATAGTTATAATTACTATTTGTCGAACATGTTCGTTGATACTGATACTTCCTACTGCATTAAGACAGTCCCCTGATTCAGATGCTCTTATTTTCTCTGCATGTTTAGATTTTTTCTTAAAACCATGTGTCTTCCAATAGACAATAAGTTCCTCAAATACTTCTTTGCCTATACAATCAGAAAAAATTTGTTGCTCTTCCCAACGTAATCTAGCACATCTAAGCATGTCAGATAGTCGAACAAATGTTCTACTTCTAATATTTTTTAATCTTATAACCATCCATGGTGTTCCACATACACCTTTCGTGCAATCTTGTATGACATTCAAATAAATTGTTAGATAATTATAATAAAAAATAATTATAAAATAACATAACTTAAATAAAAATACATTCTACCTTAAATTTATCAAACCAATCATCTTTCTCATCTTCTGTAAGCTCTCCAAAAGACTTCAACGCTTTTTTATACATTAGTTGAATGACATGATGTATAGCTTTTATAGAAGAACGACACGCATCAAAACTGAACAACAACAATTTGAATAAGTATTAAATATAAAAATGGAAATATATAGTTAAATAAATATTATAAATTAGAAACTTACTTCGATCCATCGAATCGAATAACATGTCGTACTTGAACCACCAAATGCACTTCTACAACAGGATTTGCCTGCTTCTCATGAACTTCATCATCCTTTAGAATAGGATTATCCTTCTCCTGACACGCAGATATATGTGTGGGATGTGGAGTGTGAGAACTAGATCCCTCGGGAAGTTGCATGAAGGATAATGGTACTTGGGTGGAATGTGGAAAACTAGACCCCTAAGGCTGCTGCGTGAAGGAAGACTGCTGAGAAAAACTAGACCCCCAGGCTGCTGCGTGAAGGAAGATGGTACCTGTAGAAAACTAGATCCCCTAGGCTGCTGCATGAAGGATGACGATACATGTGAAAAACTAGACCCCCAGGCTGCTGCATGAAGGATGACAGTACATGTGAAAAACTTGATCCCCCGGGTTGTTGCATGAAAGATCCCCCAGACTAATATGATGATGAAGAATGCCCAAACGGACTAATAAAAGTTGGACTCCCAGATGGAACCATATGGGAGGGGGAGAGTAATGTCGTAAATGATTAAGTGTCTATAGACATGGGATATTCCTGACTTTGTGGGCAAGAGATATACATGGATGAGGGAGATAACTCACGTACCCTTGCTCTCGGAAGGTACTGGGTCTTACTCTTACCTTTCTCAGGTGGGGGTGGCATTTTATCTATTATAAGAGAATTATCAATTAATAAATCAACATAATATATACAAACAATAAGTAAAAATTATTTTCATCCATATTATTTTTTTAACATGATTCGAATATACACACACGATACATTAAGTAAAATTAATAAAATTGATCTATTCAAACTCTTCATGCTCTTCATCCATATTATTTTCATCATCTAATTCAATATTGTCCTCAGATCCAAACTTTTCTTGCTCTTCATCCACATTATTTTCTACCAACGACACAGATGCATCAATTTGATGACCTTCAGCCAATGTATCACACAAATTTGTAATTTGTTCAACTTCACCCACATCATTAATTTGAGAAATTTCATGGTCTTGGTAAGCAACATCTTCCACTAAATCGTCAATTTCAATATGACCCAATGGTTTTGTTTCGATAACGACACACCATCCTCGTTTACACGGCTGAATTGAAAGGTAAGGAACATAATAAACTTGCTTAACGATATGCGGCATTATGAAAGGGTCATACTCTTTGTACCTTCTGTACATTCGAATCTCAACAGTGTTATATTTCTTATCTATTTTTGTGCCTCTGGCAGATGGATCATACCAATCATTAAAAAACAAGATAACTCTATATTCTGAGTACAAGTAATTGTATGTCAACTCGTAAATATGTGTAACAACACCATAGAAGTCATCTTAACCACCATCTGTAACTCCTTTTACAAATACACCGTTATTTATATTTTTTCCCTTTTGTCCAGGCATGAGTGTGAAATTTATAATTGTTCACAAAGTATGTATGCCATTCAATTGTTCTTTGAACAATGCCTTTAGACAGGTTGCTCAAATGGAGTTTTTCTTGAGCCGGGGAAACAATGCATTACAATTTCTCCTTGAACGATGTTGGAAAAGATGCATACATGTGACTGGTAGTTGCTTGTTCATTGGTGCTTTAAAAATAAGAGGTGTTAAATACCATATAAAGAAACATACTATTAGTTAGAAGGTGATAATTCAATATGTAAAGACAAATAGGTAGTTGGATATACTTACTCAAGATATGATTTAACTTCAATGCAGTTAATCAAGACATGAACATGTGCAGATTGCAACTCGTTTTGGGTTAGCCAATGCACATTTTCCTTTCCTGGGGGACGACCAGGAAGACTGAAGAATGAAAGGTAAACTTATTTCTTTTGTTAACATTAAATGCATTTCTTAGGATTCTTGGAGTTAACATTCTTGGAGTTAACATTAAGTGATTAAAATAGTGACTACAAAAATGTGATGTTTCCCGATGTAAGTAATGTGCACATTTGATCCTTCAAATTTAACGTTATTTTTTACTGATCGCTTTGAATCTCCCATGAATCTTTCAAAGAGATACATCCACCTATATTGAACAAGGCCGCTAAGATAAGCTTCATATGCAAGATGTACTGGTAGATGTTCCATAGAGTCGAAAAAACTAGGTGGAAAAACGCGTTCCAACTTACATAAAATTACTGGAATATTTTGGTCTAACTTAATGAAGTTATCGACTCTTAAAGTTGACACACAAATATCACTGAAAAATTGACTTATTTCAATTAATGGATTAAACACATGTTTAGGTCGTGAACTAAACGCAATTGGAAGTAATCGTTCCATGCAAATATTGTAATCATGACTTTTCATTTCATGCAAGTTCCCAGTTTTGGCGTCAGAACACCTTGCTAAATTTGAAACGTAACCATCAGGAATTCTCAATTCATTTAACCATCGACAAACCGCTTTAGCTTCTTGGGAAGTCTTAATAATTTTCCATTAGATCGAGACTTCAACTCCAAGTCTTTTTTATCACACAAAATTTCTACGTCCCTTCTAGCCTTCTCATTATCTTTTGTTTTGCCTTAAACATCCATCATTGTGTTAAATACATTATCAAAAAATTCTTCTCAATATGCATAACATCAAGATTATGTCGCAACAAATTATCTTTCCAATATGGGAGGTCCCAAAATACACTTCTTTTTGTCCAATTGTGGTTGACCCCATATCCTTGAATTATGCATGCTTCACTATAATCAGTGAATTTTGGTAGTTCACAAACTCGAATCCATATTTCATCTGGTGATAATCGAGGGAGATGAAAATCTTTTACTTATTCATCTTTTTTGAAATCATTCTTGTTTCTTCTAAAGACATGGTCTTGTGATAGGAATCTTCAGTGACAGCCAAACCATGAACTTTTCCCCCTGAATTCCAATATTTTGTAAATTCCATGCAATGCGCACATCCCATTTTTCCATGCGTACCCTAACCAGACAACATTTCATATGTGGGAAAGTCATTAATATTTCATATCAAGAAAGCTCGCAAAATAAAGTTTTGTTTACAAGATATATCATAAGAGTTTGTTCTATTTTCTTTACTTGGATTTGATGTTGTTATATTTTCTTTTTGTATTGAACTTGAGTTATGTTGTTGTGTGTTTGTTACTTGAGATTTGAATGATTGTTGATGGAGTGTTTGTGAGTTTATGGTGGTGATTGAAGGTTTGAGGAATTCATTGAATAGTGAATTTGGATTGATATTGCTGTGTTTCTGATGTTGTTAGATGAAGTATGGTGTTAATGGTAGAAATGGTGAATGGTGAAGGAGGATGGAGGAAGGTGGGGAGTGGAGATGAAGGTGATGGTTAGAGGATGATGTATGCTGCGTTTGTTTTTCTTCTTTTGCTCCATTTTCTCTCTTTTTATAATACAAGGCAAATAAAGACTATATATTTTTTAGTTTATGGATTTTAAAAGCAAATAAAGATAATGTTAAAGGTAATTCATTTATAATTAAAACAAAATGAAATGTATTTTTTTTTTTAAATTTTTGATTAAAAAAAAACTAATAAAAAAGCGAAAAATAAGATTATTGTTCAGGTTTTGGAAACTACAATGCTCTCTCTATGGACTTAAACAATCCTCACGAGCTTGGTTTTGGAAATTCAACTCTGTTGTTCAGGCTTTTGCAGTGAGATATAGTTAAGAAGATCATTCATTCTTCTATTGTCAAACCTCTTCAAATAAATATGTTTATTTTGTGGTTTACATACAAGATATAGTTGTCATTGTAAATAGTCAAGAAAAAATTCTCAACTAGAGGAACATTTATTCAAACATTTATAGACCAAGGATCTAGGAAGAAATTATGTTGTTCAGCCTCTTGTCAAACTCTGTTGTTCAGGCTTTTGGAGTTGAAGTTTTTCAGTCAAAAAATGAGACTATCATTTCACAAAGGAATTATGCATTAGATATACTTAAAGAAATTAGTATGTTGGATTGTAGACCAGTTGATAGTTCTACGAATTCATATCAGAAATTTATATTTAACCAGGAAGAGCCTTATTCTGATTTTGAGAGATATCGTAGATTGGTTGAAAAACTCATCTACCACACTATTTACGATCAAAAATGCATTGCACAACTTTCAAAACATTTATAGTTATCTAGACAAATTGAAAGTTGTCGTACATTTAGTTGATAGTAATTGTAGTCCAAAGCCTAATAAAGTTGTAACAAAACATGCATTGGAACATTTGAATTTGTCATCATGTAAGATTGTAGAAAAGAGATCAAGCAAAGCAATGAAGAACTTGTTAAGGCAGAGATTATGTCATGATGAAACAGAAATGAGTGAGATTATGTGTGGTTCTAAAGCTTTGGCATTGGTGTGTTTAAGGTTTCTTGAACTTGGTTTGTCATTTGATTCCAAAAGTGAAAAATTGCCAATGATGAAGCTTTCTCAACCTTCAAGTTCTTCATGGTTGAGATTGCTGCAAGAGTTGACAAAAGAAGCAGAAGCAAGTGTTGATGTGAAGAAGATGCAGAAAAAGAGTTCATGTATGACTGAGTTGCAGCAAATGGTGGATGCAGCAAGAGAACTGAAAGAACAGATGAAGATGGAAAAGGAGATGAAATGTTGTGTTGTGAAATTGAAGAAAAAGTGCAAGGAATTGGAGGATGTAGTTGATGTTATTGATGAAAGAGTAAAAGAATTGTATAGATGTTTGATTGATGTTAGGATGAGTCTTCTTGGAATTCTTTCACAGCACTAAATTCTTAAGATCTCAGTCATTAGAATAGGTAGCTAGGAATTTTGGCTAATTAGGATAATCACTGCATAAGTTAAAAAAGAAAAGGTTATTGATATGTAAATTATGTGTGAATACAAATAATTACTTATATATTCCTCTAGCAAGCTAGTTTCTTCTTGTGTCTCTAGTTATTTTTATTTTTTTGTCATGTTCTCTCCATTACTCAATGTTAGATGTTTGTTATTTGTATATATGATGTTGCCTAATGCTATTTGCAGTATGGTTTTATATGCTTCATTGGTTAGTTGAATTGAACTCATTTTCCAAATTAATATGCATGGTTGATGGAGAGTGGAGTATCAATTGTGACCATGCTCCACCAAAAGGAAATGAGTTTTAAGAAAATGCAATATGCTTGAATGGAAAGGTTCTTATTCTTCTAAGCACTAGATGCATGTCAAGATATTCACATACAAGAATAAGGAGAATTTAGAATATAGGAGTTGTTGTTACTTGCTGTACACTTTTACTTTCGTTAGTTGTTTTGCACTCACTACTACTTTTTGATAAAATTGTTACAAAAGAAATTACTGCATCATTATGCATACTAAGTTACTATTGTACAAGACAGACACGATCAACAACGACACTCCAATATAAAACAACACAGTTTTATGTTGTACAATTTCAGTTGAGAAATAAATTCTCTATGGTAGAAAGATAACTCTAAATAATTTTTCGAACAAGAAGAAATTCAGATAATTTTCAAAAGAGAATTCAATAATGATTATTTGACCACTCTAAATAATTTCTCAAACGAAAAGAAATTCAGATAATTTTTCATAAAAAATTAAATAATGGTCGTTTGACAATACGACAATGCAGAGCAAAAAGAATGAGAAAGAAAAAGTTGAAAAATAATTTTTGATGTGTTTTAGAATTAATCATGCACATTCTTTATACAATGAAGTAAGATATCCAAGATATGTAATCTAAGAAATGTGGAGATTAGAGTTTTTCTCACAGTTTTTTAACAATATAAAGTTTTCTAACAATATAAGACTTAAGAATTTTTTTCTTTAAAATATTGACATGCTCCAACAATCTCCCACTTTAATTTTAAAAAGTGTTTTTAAAGTAACGTCAAAAGTTTTACGATTGTGCATAAACAAAGACGTCTATGACTTGAACATTTTTTTAGCAAGTAGGAATATGATTGAACAAGAGTGACTCATTATCTTGAACTTTATCTCAAACATCAAACTCACACACAATATTTTCTTAAGGTATTTTCTAAAATCACATGCTTTAAAAGGTCTTGCACGTTTATCCCAGTTTAGTGAAGGCTATAGGAATTCTTCATTAAAATTTCATAGAAACCTATCCAAGTTCTACAATCACATTGGTGATTCTATCAATAGAACTCAAGTAACTAGGTACTCCACCCATACAACGAATATATCTCATTAAGAGTTTCTATTATCTCATCCTCTTATCGCTTCAAGATTCATATTTCTCTTATTTATACTAGCATGTCCATCTCATAATGCTCACAATTTGTTATTGTCCATTGAATCTAATTCATAGGATCTAGTCTTTTAGGTCGCGTTACCATCATGAAAAACTCACTTATCTATATGCACTAGTCTCATCCTATTAGCTTATGATGGACTTTCTCTAGCTAATTCTTTCAACAAAAGATCAACCAAATTCTCATTAGCGCGTACGTGATCCACTCTTGCACCTCTTTTAGAGACACAATCTCTAACAATGATGTGTTTTCTCCTAATTTTTTATCTCTTACCATTATATTAACGGATCTCAGTTGTTATAACAGTTGTTATACTATCACAATTGATCAACACAGGTGGCATAGGCCTTTCCACGAAGGGATCTCAACTAGCAAGCATCTTAACCAATTTGTTTCTTCACTAGCATTCGCTAATTATATAATTTCAGACCCCGTTGTGGACTGAGCCATTATAGTCAATTTTTTTTTCCAAGATATAACTCCTCTAACTATATTGAATATATAGCCACTAGTTGCTTTAGAATCATCTGATAATGAGTTCTAATATGCATCATTGTATCTTTCAAGTACAAAAAAAAATCTCGGATAATGTAGACCAATATTCCTGGTCCTTTTAAGGTATCACATGACTCTATCAAATGATTTGCCAATGCTCATTACTCCTTATACTCATAAACCTGCACAACAATCCTATGGCATATGCAGTGTTAGTTCTAGTATAATCAATGACATTCAGAATACTTCAAACGATGCTTACATACTCATTTTGTCTAACATTATCACCAATGTTTTTAAATAGTTTTAAACTAGGTTTCTCATACCCCAAATTTTACCTCTTAGATGTCATTAACATTTGCATGAGCATCATAGGTCAATCATCCTTGCATCACTAACTAAATCATCAAGCTTTGTGGTTTTGTTTAGTTCATTTGGTCCAAGGAAATCCAAGTCAAGAGTATCACAAGTGGATAGGAAAGGCATTGACCTCATCTGATTCAAAAGTCAACTGAGGCATCACAAGAGTCAACCATTGGGTTTTGCAGTCAACCAGGAGTTTCACAAGTCTTATCTCATGGTCTCATATGGATGGGTCAAGAAAAATCAAGTTAGAATCATAAAATCAGGAAATTTGGTGAAATTAGGGTTTTTGGTGAAAAATTCTAAGTGTGGAAATCAAGAATCCTAGTCATCTTGTAAGAGCCATGTCTCACTCATCCATAAGTCAATTGGAGCAAACCAATAATATTTATAAAGAGGTCATCCTAAACTACATGTTTGTAGAAGAAATCATATCCAAAAGATGAATGGATTTGGAGTTATATTGATTCAAAGTTAGGAAAAAACTTGATTTTGAAATCCCATACTTAGAAAATTTTCTAAGTTATAAATTTCAACTTGTTGGAGTGATTTTCAAGGTCAAATTCAAGAGGATTCCAAGTCTAATTTGACTTTTCCATCAATATTAAATTTTTAGATAACCATCTCAGCTTTCTTTTTATACAAAGAACTCCTCAAAAGCATGTCTAGAACTCAAGTTATGGTGCCTTGAAGTTAGGGTTACAAAGTTGGAGAAATTGACAATATGGTTTTCAGCATTTTTAAGACAACTTCATTTGGATTTTTCTTGATGATCTAAGCATTAATTCAAAATTCCTTAAACATAACAGTTGTTCCTTGTTCTCTAAGCTTTCCAAGAATACCAAGAACGTCTTATTTAGACCAACCAATCTCAAGTTATGAAGCTCTAAAGTGAAGGGTTTTTAAGGTCAAGTTTTGGAAACTTAGAAAATTTCTACTAAGTCCTTTAAGTAACCACTTTTTACCAAACTTCTATGTCATTTTTCATATACTTCCAAGCCTTATTTCATTTTTCTTTAAACATGAAAGTTGTAGATGGTTATCTCAAATTTCCATTGATACCAAGTTTGTAAGGATTGATAGTTTAAGCAAGAAGTTATGGTAGAGACAAGATGCCAAGATATTCACAAAGGAGTGAGGGTCAGATTTGAGGACACAAGTTGGGAGGCCATTTTGAGTGTTTTCCAAGCATTTTTCGCATTTACTTTCAACTGGAAAGTTGTTCCTTGATATGATTTATATCCAAAAGTACCATTTTTGTGAAATATGGTCATCTACACTATCTCCAAAATCTTCCCCAAAGACAACTTCCCAGAGTTTGTTTGGCATTATGTGAAGAATCTAATTTTAATTCAAACTTGTTCAACAAGTGTGCTTTGTTCAAGAAAGCTGAAAAGTACCAGCAAGAGTGTCATAGAACTTTGAAGTGGAATGCTATCAACGTCTTCTTGATCAAGAATCTTGTTCCCACTTTGTTGGCTGACGCGTACTACTCCATCCATCTGAAGAACTATTATGGGGAATGCCAGATCATCTGTTGCATAACTCTCCTTTACAAGTGGTTTATTTCTCACTTGCCAAGGACAGTATTACTTTTGGGATATGAATGACGAACTATTATGGATAGAAAATATTTTATCACTCAAGCACTCGGATATCAAGTGGTATGATCCCATGTATAGAGGAGTCGTCATGATCCATAGCTGCTGAGATTTCCCTAACGTGCCTCTTCTTGGCACAAAAGGATGTATAAGCTACAACCCTATCCTAGCTCGCTGTCAGGTTGGATACCCGATGGAGGATGAACCCAATCCAGTCTTTTTGAAGAGTTTATTCTTTGAAGAAGGAAAAAACCCAGTGCTCAAGGCTCAAATTATGTACGCTTGGCGTCACATTCACATGAAGGGAATGACTACTTTGGGATACCCTGACTGCTCTGTCTCAGAATCTTACTTGTTATGGACTAAGAAGAGAGCTTTGAAGATGTTCTACACCCGTTTTGAGCCAATCTCTATGACTCTAAAGTATCCCATCACTGTAGAGGAATTGAAGGCTGCTTTGGTTAAAGCTAAAAGGGAGGAGAAGGCTTGGAGGGACAAATACTTCATGGTTGTTCAAGAAAATGAAGAACTTCAGAAACTTCTCCTCGAAGATGAAGGATAGAATTTGCAAGAAGATGAAGGATCCTCTTGTCAGAAGGATTAAGCCTTTAGTTTCTGTTGCGTTGCTTTTTGATTTGTATTATGACTTGTACTTTGGATTTTGAATGTGTGATGAATGTTTTGTAAAACTCTCAGTCTTTAACTTATGAAAGTATTGTTTTGTTCTGTGTTTATTACCCATTGTTATAATGTTTGTAAACATATTCTTTGGGTTCCTTGAATGTTTGGTTGTGCATTTTCATTTTCACTCATAAGCATTGCATATGCAATCTGTAGCACCCCAAAATTTGCCCATCCCTTTTCTTATATCTTGGCTTATGTTTCATATCATTTTGCATTGGCATTAGTGCATAACATTGGTTCTAGACAGGGGATCAAAGTATTGGTTCAACACTCAAAGGAAGAGTTTCATCTTCAAAAGCTCAATCAAAGGTTTATGCTCAACTTTGTGGCAATATCAAGTCATAAGG